TCACGCCCGCCCCCCAGTCACAGCTGCCCCTGGACGGGCTGTCTGCCCCCGTCACGCCTGCCCGCCCCCCAGTCACAGCTGCCCCCGGACGCGCTGTCTGCCCCTGATCTGTGGAGCTCACACAGTCAGCGCTGCTGTTCTCTGCCCGCAGGCCATAGAGCAGACGTTTCACCGGCGCTCCATGGTGGTGGCCGACTCCGTGTCCCACATCACCCAGCACCTGCAGCACCAGGCGCTGATCGCCCTGGTCACGGCCAAGGTAGGACATCGCCGGCAGAGGGCGAGCAGAGCGGCTGCTGAAAGGATTATTCACTCTTACTTCTTGAGTATGTGTGCCTGTTCCCCATCATGGTCTTCTCTGTTCAGGGTCAGGAAGGTTCCTTCAGCCTGTCACGGTGGGACGTTCTCTTTAGCCTCAGACTGATCCTTTGCTTTACAATATCGCTAACGGCGAAAGGGGTGCAAGCTGGTTTCTGATGCTGTGTGAGGTACCCCTGAGGGAAAGTGTGGGACCACGGGCTGCTTTTACCCTCTTCTGTGCTGCCGGCTTGCTTCCAGAACAAAGGGTCTTTTTTTAAACCTTCTCCTCTGCGCTCTTGGGCGCGGACTGAGTGCGACTCCCTGTGACTCCCCTTTGCAGAAGAGAGTGATCTCGGACAAGAAGTACAGCGAGCAGCGACTGGATGTGCTGTCGGCGCTGGTCCTGGCGGAGAACGTGCTCAACGGCCCCAGCACCAAGGAGAGGAGGCTGGTGGTCTCGCTGGCCCTCAGCGTGGGCACGCAGATGGTGAGTCCTGCAGGGGGGCCAGACTACGATCTAGGACACTGAAGGATAATAATAAAAATAAACTTTATTTGATTTAGTTCCTTTAAAGGTGGCTTCTCAAAGCGCTTTACAGAAAGACAACAACAACAAAAAAATACACAAGTTACACATGATGAGAATACACAGAGGAGACAGTAGATGGTGGTGCTAAATACAGCAGGAGCAGAGGGGTGAAGTGAAGGCTCTTCTACAGAAGAGGGTTTCGAGTCTGGATTTGAAGGAGCTTAGAGAAGGTGACTCTCTGGTATCCGAGCTCCAGAGCTTTGGGGCGCAGCAGGAGAAGGCCTGGGATCTTCTCGTTTTCCTTTTCCCTTCCTTCTAATCTTTACGTGTGTGTATTTGAGTGTTATGAAATCCGATGTCAGATTTAGAGCAAGTTCACCCCAGATGGAATATTGAGCAGCCGGAGTAGAGTGTAACAGCAATGGCTGACGGCTAGAGACCACCCAAGCCTGCTGTTGGGGGCTATGAAGCATTCCTGGATTCCAGTTATCTACTTGTTGTTATAATTGTTATTACTTTTATTACTATTTATATTATTAATGGAGAGAATAGAGTACTTTATTGCCATATGTACACGTATATTGGAATTCTTAAATTTTATTATTAGATTAATTCTTAAATTAATATTATTAAATGCAAAGATCACTTAAGATCAGTTTGCTACAGCAGGGCCGACGGGGCTCCTTTGTTCAAGTTTGGTGATTGGTGGTGTTTCCTCGTTAAAGAGCAGAGCGCAGGTGCAATCAGGGAAATGTGGTGCTAGTGTCTCAGGGAGCGGGAGGAGGCTCCTGTCACCTGTGACCTGGCTGAAGGGGAAGGTGGTGGATGTCCAGAACTGGATAGGTGTATTGAGCATGTCAGCGGTAGCGCTGTCTCCCTGGGCATGCTGTGTTTGTCAGAGCGGTGGCCATGCTGAGCACGCAGGCACGGGTCGCCCCGCTCTCCAGTGGAGCTCACACCTCCTTCTGTGCTCGTTCTCCACAGAAGACTTTCAAAGACGAGGAGCTGCTCCCCCTGCAGCTGGTGCTGAAGAAGCTCGACCTGATCAGCGAGCTTAGAGAGAGGTAGGGGGCTCGGCTGCAGTCTCGCTGAGCTGATTCCTCTGTTTTCCATTTGTGGGTAGAGAGATGAAACCCACAAGCGTTTGAGAGCAGCCCCTGGCTGACTCGCGAATCACCCACCTGTCCTCCCCGCCGTCTTCCAGGGTGAAGGTTCAGTGCGACTGCAGCTTCCTGTACTGGCACCGCGCCGTCTTCCCCATCTACCTGGACGACGTGTACGACACCGCCGTGGACGCAGCCCGAATACATGTGAGCTTCACCTCCCCTGCAGCTTTAACCCCCTCCTGCACTGCAATCTGCACCTACTGCAGTCTGTACACTACGCCCCAGCCCTGCCTGCCTGCGCTCTGCTCCCGGCCCCGTCTGCCCTTCTGCCTGCCTGCGCTCTGCTCTCGGCCCCGTCTGCCCTTCTGCCTGCCTGCCCCTGCCTGCCCTTCTGCCTGCCTGCGCTCTGCTCCCGGCCCCGTCTGTCCTTCTGCCTGCCTGCGCTCTGCTCCCGGCCCCGTCTGTCCTTCTGCCTGCCTGCGCTCTGCTCCCGGCCCCGTCTG